CTTGTGTTTGCTCGCCAACTCTGCTTGCTGTCGTGCAAGTCTTTCCAAATCTTCATTCAGTGACTTGAACTTATTCACCCACATGTCTGAGGTCTTCAGCTTTCCTCCCAGGCTCTCATCGAGGTGGCAGCTTCTGTTTCTCCTCCCCCGTTTTTTTCCTTATTCCTGCTCTGCTCTCTGTGTGTCTGAAGCGCCTGGGTCTCATCTCCCGAACATAAATTAAGAAGATTATGGATTTGGTATCGTGGGCGTTCAACTCTATTGATAAGATTTTTTCATCAAAACGACAAGGTCCTGGGGAACCGGCGTGTCCAGCTGAGACTCACGTTGTGGGGTACGTCATGGATTTGTGGGTAGTGTGGCAATTGATGTGCATTACAGTTTTGTCTCAAGAGGATGTTGAAGACGTTTACATATTTGGATTTATGATAGCAGGGACTCTGCTTTTTGGCATCGGCGGGGCTCTGTTGTATCAACTTTTGAAGAAGACATCGGGAGCAGTTTCGGCCATGGAAAAGCTTTCGAGTCAGTGTGAAGGTTTGGTCCTCATTGTGGGAACTTTAAATCGTCTGGTCTACGAGCTTAACCATAAGGTGGAGGTGATTGAGAATCGCAGACCACCTGCGGCTTCTGGGACTCGTCAGCGTGGTGGGTTCGACCTTGAAGGAGACTCATAGCATGGATCAGTGGAATGGAATCCCACAATTAGGCATTTTCGGAACCAGAACGCCCAGATGGACTCAAGGCTGAAGAAAAAAATCTGACTGCCTGAAGAAAAAACAAAAATCAAGCTTATCTGAATCAGACTCCCGACGGCCTCGGAGACGGGCTGACTATCAAATTTCTCCTGGAACATGAGTACCCAAGGACAAAAGCTTCACCCGCCCCCCCCCACCCCGAGAACTTTCTGTGCAATCTTATCAGAACTGCTGGCTGGAACAACATCTTCAGAAACTGTGGCTGATCTGAAAAAATGCTCATGGACAAATCTCAACACCTCAATGTCAAATGCAAATGTAATCATGTTTTAATTGTGCTTGCTGGTAGAGTTTTTTGATGTCTCAAATCGTGTCCTGATTGACACGATGTGAAAGATCTTTTTTTGTAATACCACTATCTACCCTCATGTTTCTCCCCATTTTCCTATCTAAGATTATTATCTGATAAGGATAAAATGGCTGCGCTCTCGTGTAGTTGCAGCTTTGTGCACTCCGCCCATCTTTCGGACGACGGTACGTACATATTCGCGTTGTACCTCGGTGCAATTCCAATAAAGTTTATTCTGATTCTGGTCAGCAGCTTGTAGCTCAAACTCTTTGACTGAGACACCGGGGATGTAACTTAGGTCGGCGCTGTCCACTCATGTGGATGGGTGGTGAATTTAAAAAGACGAGTGCGCTCATGAAATTCTCCAAAGCGCGCTTTGAATGACTGCAGGAGATTAGATGTGAAGCCCGCTAGAAGATCAAGATGTTGAGCAGGGTCACTTGCTGTGTATGCATCTTTAAACTCTCCCATTTTTCAAAGTGTAGTAAACGACCTGTTTCAATGTCGGCAATGAAGAATTCTAGCTTGTTTTCAAATGCAAACACTGCTTGTTGAAGGGATAAGACTGTATTTCCAATGCCATGCATTTTCACATTGAGCTGGTTCAGATGTTCAGTCATGTCCACGAGATAGTAGAACTTCAGGAGCCACTCAGTGTTAGCCAACTCAGGATGCTGGACGTTTTTCATTTCAAGAAAAGTCTGGATTTCGCACAGACAAGCTGCAAAACAGCTGTGCACCTTCCCTTTTGACAACCAATGCACATTTCTGTGCAGGAGCAGACCAGGATAACTATTCCCAACTTCTTCCAGCAGTACTTTAAACTGGCTATCATTTAAAGCTTGAGCAACAATAAAGTTGACCACCTGAATGACCAGCGACATCACCTCACCAAGCTGCTCGCCACACATCTGAGCACAAAGCACCTCCTGATGTAGGATACAGTGAAAACTTAGGATGGGTCTCTTTTCATGTTCACAAAGCAGTGCTACAAATCCTCTGTTTTTCCCCACCATGCACGGAGCACCATCACTACACACCGAAATAAGTTTGTCCATCGGTAGATTTTTTTCTTTAGCGAACTCAGTGAAAGACGAATAAATCCTCCCCTCTTGTAGTCCCTTTCATAGACAAAACAGCAAGACTTTCTTCACGTAGTGTGTCACCGACAGCATACCTTGCAATCACACTGAACTGGGATAAATGGCTTCATTGGTCTGTTGACACATCCAAAGCAAGAGAAAAGAATGCTGCTGCATTTATGTCCGTCATATGTGTTGCCTCAGTTTGATTTGCCATCATGATGGCACAATCTTGAACAGTTCTTGTCGACAGAGACATGCCTTTTATTAGTTTAATTATCTTTTCTTTATCCGAAATGTCATCAAAAATTTAACTGGCAACATCAAGCATGAATGTTTTGGCATACTCGCCATCTGTGAATGGTTTTCCGTTTCTCACAATTGCTAAAGCACCAGCAAAACTAGCTGAATTCCAGTCACCTTGTTGGGTCCAAACACGGAGTTGCTGGCTTGCATGCTGCACAGTAGCTCTTCACATGCTTTCTTCCTGCTGTCCCCCGCAGGATATCCATCCATTTTCTTCCGCTTATCCGGGGTCGGGTCGCGGGGGTAGCAGCCTAAGTAGGGAGGCCCAGACTTCCCTCTCCCCAGCCACTTGGGCCAGCTCCTCCGGGGGAATCCCAAGGCACTCCCAGGCCAGCCAAGAAACATAGTCCCTCCAGCGTGTCCTGGGTCTTCCTCTGAGTCTCCTCCCGGTGGAACGTGCCCGGAAAATCTCGCCAGGAAGGCGTCCAGGAGGCATCCTAAACAGATGCCCGAGCCACCTCAACTGGCTCCTCTCGATGTGGAGAAGTAGCGGCTCTACTCTAGGCCCCTCCTGGATGACCGAGCTTCTCACCCTATCTCTAAGTAAGGGAGAGCCCAGACACCCTGCGGAGAAAACTCATTTTGGCCGCCTGTATTTGTGATCTTGTTCTTTCAGTCACAACCCAAAGCTCATGACCATAGATGAGGGTATGAACATAGATCGACCAGTAAATTGAGAGCTTTGCCTTTTGACTCGGCTCTCTCTTCACCACGACAGACCGGTACAGCGCCCGCTTCACAGCCGACGCTGCACCTGCAGGATATTTCGATGCAAATGTAGTATGGCGTGTGTCGAAGTTCCGCTTTATATTTGACCATTTCATTAATGCAATTTTATCGTTGCATATTCAATCAATCAACCTTTATTTAGACAGGTAAATCCCATTGAGTCTCGAGGACTCATTTACAAGAGAGACCTGATAGACACGCTACAGAACCTGCTGTCTCCACAAAAGCCAATTCCTCTGTCCATTCCTGCTGAAAAGTATGATACTCCTCATTTCTTTTTCTTTTAGCCATCTTCTTCGAAACGGGTTTCCGCAACTAGCTAATTAGCTGCTAGGAGGGAAATTTACTTCCTGACCATGTCACCCATGTACGTTACGCAATATCCGATTGGCTCCAGCCACCCGCAACCATGTTTTATATTTTTATCATTATTATTTTTTATTAAAGATTTGTCTGCGAGACAGATGCAGCCATCAAAAGAGCCATATCTGGCTCGTGAGCCATAGGTTCCCGATCCCTGCTTTAGAGCCTGTCTTGTGTGGGATTTCTTCTTTTGCCTGGCTCCTGAGTTAGTGGGGACGCTGTCTTCTCTGTGGTACAGAGTCCTGATAACTCCTAACTTGTGATCCAAACTGTGATGGGAGTCAAACTGCAAATACTGGTCTGTGTGTGTTTCCAACCATTTCCAAATGTCCTCCATCAAATACTGAGACCTCACAGTCCAAGAAAGCCAGTTTACTTTAAAATTAAAATTTTAGCACAGGTTCTAACATACCTGAGCCAATGACTTGGTGGTGTCCCTGAAAAGGACGTCAAGGCTCTCTTTTCTACCTCCTCCATGTAACTGGAGACCCCATAGCACACCCATGTTTCTGCCTATAATATTGCTCCCCATATGTGAAGTAGTTTGACTGCAGGCACAGTTTCAAGAGTTGACACAGTTGTTCTGTGGAAAGTGTGGTCTTGCTGCTCAGAGTGGTGTCTGATTTTAATTTTAAACTGACCACCTCTACTGCATCATCAACAGGAATGCACGTAAAGAGTGATGTGACATCAAAAGAGACCATTGTTTCATCAGTCTCCATGACGACATCCCTCACCTTATCCACAAAGTCCATGGTGTTCTGTATGTGGTGTTCTGAGCTGCCAACTAAAGGGATGAGTACAGAGGCCAGATATTTGGAAACATTGTGACAGAGTTAATCGTGCTAACAATCTGTGAGTCTGACTGCATTTTACATTTGTAACTTTATTAAACAGAAAGTTGGTGTTAGGTTCTAAAATTAATTTCATTCATTTCAGTCCGGGTAAAAACAAGCTGTTGCTTATCTCACTTTTTATTCTGTTTTCATAAACTATTGTTATTGTATGATTTACTGGAGGTCGGGTTTAGTTGTTTTGGTATAAGCTTGTATATTTTTGTGGTATTTTTCTATTTCTCTTTATTGTTCTATCAAGTACCGTCTAGTAGATAATGAAAGGGTTTGATTGTAGTTTTTAAAGCAGGAAAGCTAAATTGATTGTCAAGGAGATGAAGGGTTGTGGGTGGGTGAAGGAGTATTCAAGTTTCTAAAGATTTTCTCTGCCAATGGCCATTACAGTACTTTGAATTCAAAATCACTGATTAAAATTAGGTTTCAATCTTGAATTTCTTTTATTTTTGTCCCATGAAAATCAATGGTATTATTTTTACTTTTATAATGTGACACATCCAGTTTCTTTTCATTAAAATAAGACCTAATCACAGTAAACCAAGGCCTGGGTATTTTGTGTTTGAAACGCCCTATGACTTTAAACCTAGAGGACTGAGGGGTTTGTTTTCTTCTGTGTCTCCAGTTCTTTTACTCACTGTACCAGGTTCTGAAGTTATTAAACAGGAAGATGATGAAGACGAACAAAAACAGAACTGGAAGTGCAAAAAGGTCAAACCCTAAGTATTGAAATATTCCCTTCAAATTGTTTGTAGTCTACTCAAAACTCAGGCTGTAAATTTCTTTCTCCTTTAGGAAGTGTCCCAGTCCAAACCCTGTCCAGTCGCTGGGTTCTGGTGAGTATTTTGCCATTCTTTTTTTAACTTCAAAAGCTTGTTTGATGGTTTATTTTCTCCAAAACTCAAGACAATCTTTTGTAAGACTTTAAAAAGAACACCAGGACTCACTGTTACAAAATAGTTGTAGTCATACACCTTAAGGATAAAGGACGCTGTTTTGAGGATCATGATGTTCATATTTTGGACAGAGAAGACAAATGGCTTGAAGGGGGTTAAGCCATTTACCGTATGTCAAATGAGAATAAACTGCTTTAAACAGAGGAGGTTTCAGATTTCAGCTTTCTAAGGCCTTGCTTGTACATGAACAGTCTCTTGATAACTTTACATGCTTTATGATGTTAACTGTAAAACCGTTGGTTACGTACTGTAACCCCAGATTCTATGAGTATAGGCTTTGCCCTTTAAAGGCTGTTCGCTAGTGTGAATATTTCTCAAGCTTAGTCCAGAAGAACTGTAAGCTTGAGAAATAGTCACACTAGTGAACAGCCTTTAAAGGGCAAAGCCTATACAAAATAGAACGTTACAATCACTGTAATGCTGTCATCGCATCGCTGTTTAGACGAGACTGTAAACAATGTTAAGCATGCTGTAGTTTCTATGCTAGGTCACTAGGTAGCGCTGTGTTTTATGTATTTCTAAAGTACAAGCATGCACAGTAGAAATAGGATATATGACTATTTGAAGGAACCAGATCTTGAAGATCTGTTTGCTTGAAAAAGAAGTTCAATTTGAAATCGTAGTCATGTCATAAGGTGCGGCAGTACATCTTAATGTACGACTTCAGAGTTGTAACATGTGTCTTGTCAAGTGGAAAGCCCCCCCCCCCCCCTCCTGAGATGCTGCACTCCTCCCTTTGCCTGTTCTCCATCTTTGTCTCAGCAGAAAAACATAAGAGGAACATTTGTGGAAAAAAAGTGTTGTGGTAGCTCGTTGGTCTGTGGTGTCATCAGGAAGGGCATCCTGCGTAATAAGAATTGCCAAGTCTTTGTGCGAGTTAGTTCTCTGTGGCGACCCCTGAAGAAAGGAGCAGCCGAAAGAAGAAGAAATTCATGATTTTTTTTTTTGTTGTCTCATTTTTGTCTGGAATAAAATGTTGACAAAATTACCACAGCATTTTTCCAATGATCCATTTATTTTTATTACTCACTTTTTTTTTTCCGGTCATTGTGGTGGTGGGATGCATCACAAACAACGATGAGTCCAGCTACAGGCAGGAGATGGAACACCTGGAGAGCTGGTGCAGGAAGAACAACCTTCACATCAATGTGAAGAAGATGAAGGAGATGGTCGTGGATTTAAGAAGGAACAAACACACCTACACCCCCCCCCCCCCCTGAACATAGGAAGATCTGTGGTGGAAGTGGTCTTCAGCTACGAGTACTTGGGTGTGCATCTGGACGACAACCTCAACCGGAGCAACAACACCACCAGCCTGATCAAGAAAGCTCATCAGAGACTCTACTTCCTCAGACAGCTGAGACGAGCTGGACTGGGAAGCTCAGTCCTCACCTCCTTCTACAGGTGTGCAGTGGAGAGCATCCTGTGCTCCAGCATCAACGTGTGGCATGGAGGCTGCACAGCTGCAGAAAGAAAAGCTTTGCAGAGAGTGGTGAAGGCTGCACAGAAGTCTGTTGGAGTCAGTCTCCCCACCATCACGACATCTACACCTCTAGATGCAGGAAGAGAGTCACCTGCATCATGAAGGACCCCACTCACCCAGCACACACTTTTTGCCCCACTCCCCTCAGGAAGGAGGTTGAGGAGCATTAAGTGTAGAACCACTAGACTGAGGAACAGCTTCTACTTTGAGGCTGTTAGACTCCTGAATCTCTAACCAGAATAATAACTGAAGAATCACATCATGTTGCTGCTGATCTGTTTCATGTTGCTGCTGATCTGTTTCATGTTGCTGCTGATCTGTTTCATGTTGATGTGTTCATGCTCATCTGCTCACACAGACTCATGTTCGTGCTGCTGTTCGGCGTATTGTTTTTATGCTACTGGTGCTTTGTGTGTTTTTAGTTTAATGTTTTTCTTCATATCTTAGATCTTCTTACTGTTTTTCTTTTACATTTGGTACTTATGTTGGATGTAACTGGGACCCTGTGTACACAATTTCTTTCCACCACATGTACCACATGTGGTGTGAATGAATGACACAGAGAGAAACTCTGACTCTGATTGTGAGAGGTGGGGTACACCTGGACAGGTTGCATTACACCAGTAATACAGTATTCATCGTGTTCTTAGATAAACGTGTCAAAGACTTTATTGCCTGACAGCTGAATGTGTTTAAGTTCACAGCTCCTGTATATTTGCAGCAACCCATTCCCAACTCTGGACCAGCAGCTGACCACTTCACTGAAACCAGCAGCTCACAATAGTGGTGGTTCTCTTCCTGACCTCACCAACCTCCAGTTTCCTCCTCCACTGCCCACCCCGCTTGATTCAGATGATTCAGCTGCCTCATTCGACTCTTCCAGTACCACACACACTCTGTGTAACACACAAGGTATTCTTCAGACACTGTCATGTGCAGATTGTCAGGAACCCTTGACTCTTTAATATTTTGATGTTAATTGTTGCCTTTCCTGTGTTGTTTTTGTGTAACGTACAGAAGTCCACGCCTTTCGGCAACCAACAACCATGGAAATGCAGCCTGGGCAGGAGAACATGGTTCCTCTCATCCTAAATGCTGGAGATCCCCAGAACCTGCAGCTGTCCCCAACATCTGCACCACTTCCTCTGCCTCAGGTACTTCCAGGCTCAGTTTCTCTACTACACCACTCATTTAGTCATATTGTTTATTTAATTTTATTTAGTTTAGTTTGTTTTTATTGGGTTTTTTTTGCTCTTAGTGCTTAGTGTATTTTTAGTTGATGTTTTCATTAGTTCATATCTTAGGTGTTATTACTGTTTTTCTTTTACATTTGTTTCTCTGCATTATATTTTATATTTTTGATAGACCACCACCCATTTACAGATTTTGTTGTGATGTTTAGTTTTGATGTTTCAGGATTTTATTTGCATGTATGTATATATGAAGGACAAGTAGTTTTATTTCTATGTTTTTGACACCTTAAGATTCAGTAGTTCGTAGAGCCATCTTTAACAGTTTTAACAGCACTGGGCTCAGAAATGTGTAGAAAAGACTTCACTGGCTTCCAGCTATGGTGTCTACCTGAGTTAGTTGTGTTCGCCTCAGTCTATTCTTCTGTCTTCATTTGATCAGCCTCAATGTCAAATCAGCTGAAAACAGCGGCTGAGATGAGAATGTTAACAGTGACTAGATTTTATTTGGAAGTGAGGAGGTTATGGCCAGTCATCAAGCTAACGAGGTTAGCATCTTAAAAACCATACACTCACTAGAAGAGCACTTTGTCACTTAATTGTGAAACATTATAACATTTTTCTTGAAAGGAAATAACATAAGCTTTTTCAACGTAATGTAGTATGAACAGATGCTGAGATATATTCATACATTAAACGGGTTCTTCATTTTTCTGAACTGTGTAACATGCGTGCATTGAATTTAACAGAAATGTAACGAGAGACGTTATTTATCTTTGACCCATCAAAATGAATGCGGTCATTTATTTACAGAATCAAAGTTTAACATCAAACATTTACATTAATTTGGCAAAATATGAAAATAACAACAGCATAATTAATCAATCAGGAAAACCATACGGCCATGGTTTTCCGTTGCTTCACCACAGACATTAATGAAAACATCTGGATTAATTTTCTAGCAGAAAGGAGAGTTTGAAGATGGAAAATTGAGATTTATCTTACAGAGAGATGTGTGAGGGAATTTATCTGTTTTAACCAGAACAACACGCTCTTTGGAAATCAGCTTGTCCCAAACGGTACACTTTTGGGTGAAGGTCGACTTTACCTTTCTGAAGATAGATCAGGTCGGCGTGAAGTCCTACTTCCAGCCACTTTCAGCGTCTCCGTTGAGAACAGCTAAAATACCTCGAGAGTCGTGCGAGGTTATCCAAACAGAAGTTATAATTCCCAAAATCGTCTCTGGATCAGCTTGTTTGGTCTAGCAGCATCCATGAACGCCTGCATTGCATTCACGGACTCCCAAACGCTCTGCATTCTGGATTCCAAGAACTCTTCTGGAACTCTCTTGGAACTCTACGTGAACTCTCAAAACTCTGGAAACTCTTCCATCCTCAACTCTACTGTTGAACTGGGAAGTTGCCACATTTAAACGGGGTATACTTCCGGTTCATTTGAGAGCTTTCTGATTCGTGGATGGACCAGAACAGAGGTGTGGTTTGTGATGTAAGGTGTTATGGAAAGTCAAGGATTGTTTAAGAACAGACAGAAAGATATCATGGAAAAACCAGACTTCGTGGTGCCACCTCTCCTGTATCTTGCTGTAAAAGTTAAACATGACATTTCTTTTCAGTAAACTTTTTAGTTGACCGAAGCTCGAACTTTAACACACTTACAAATTTGCTCATTGAAGACAGAAAAATCAAGAAATGCATATTACCCTGATTTCTTCTTTGAATGAGGAATAAAAATCATTACTACTGTTTAAGTAAATAAAAATGAGTAGTTCACTTCAACCTGTAAACATTGTTTGAACTAACACAATTTGATTATCAAAACATTTGTAAAATAGTAATGATCATAGAGAATTGTCTTTTCTACTTGATTAATTCAAGAAAGAAAGTCTCAGGATGGGTCAAACTGTATTTCTGGATGCAGCTCAATGAAATGACAGTTTCTGACCATATGATCCTAAGGTCATTGATTTGACATCAGGTCAAGTTCACTACAATCAGCATTTCATATCTTTTTATTGATGTTTTTTAATTTCTAAAATGATGCATTGTATTTGTTGTGACACACAAACTGTCTACTCTAGATTTGTGTCTAAATAAATGTATTGCCCTATTGTAATAAATGATAAATAACAATAATACATAGCACATTAATGTGGTGCCTGTGGCACTATAGGAGATGTAGCCATCCTGCACCATCATTTCCAATATCTTGCCATAAATTTCCCCATTTCTTGTAGCTCTGTCCAGCTCGTGTAGAATCATCTGATCCAGCAATAAAGACAGAGGTCTGGACCTCGTCAGTGGTCCATGACTATTTTTGGAGCTTCCATACTGAACTAGAAACTAGAAATAACAAACTAACAACCCACACTCTACAATGATCAGCGAAGAAATGATAGTTTCTTATGTTATTTGTCATATGCAGATTAACACAGGGTCAACAGTGCAATGAAATGTTCAGGAAGAGAAGAACTGAATCAACTCGCTAAAAACAAACAAACAAGAAATACTGAAGCATGCAGTAATGGTACATAATAAAGTACCAAAAGTGAAAACGAAGTATAATATTTACAAGATCCAAAAGAAATATAGTAAATATGTTCCTGTAAACATGAAATATAGTAAATATAAAATATAGTAAATATGTTCCTGTTTTTAGTTTTCTACACCGCCTTACATTCTAGCTGTTTTTTTAGCTACTTTTACTTTTGGTTGTCCTTTTGGTTGCCATTTTATTTTAACTTGTTTAAAAAATAATTGTACACATCTTTTATGATTGTCTATTGTTGTTGTCGTTGTCCACTGTAAGCTTAAATGCACATGATGTATACTGCACATAACTAACAAACTACACAGGTTGTGTGACAGGTTATTGCACAGGTAGTGAGTAACATTGAGATGAATTATGATGCTAAGGTGATGACATACATGATACAGCCACATAGTGCAGCAGCAATAAATCTATTAGTTGTCACAGATGTGGCTTGGTGCAATGTTATTGTCAATAGTTCTATCTGACAGCTTGTGGATAATAACTAGTCCTTGTGCTGGGTGGGTGTGGTCCTTAATGATGCTGCGTGCTTTATGCAGACATCAGCTGTGGTAGATGTCATGGATGGTGTGGAGACTGCTACCAGTGATGTCCTCTGCTGTTTGCACCACCTCTGTAGTGCTCAGATGTTGTTTGCAGTTTTGCTGGGCGGGTCACATCCAGTGATGTAGCTCTGCTGGCCAATCATGTCTGCTTATGTCAAAATCATCACCTTGGAGCAGTTCACCATGAACAAGGCGGTCCCATAAACTGGTCTGAGTGGGGGTGGGTACCAGCAGTGGGAAGGCCCTAAACTGGTTTGGTGTGGTGCAGAACCAATGAGAGTTGAGACTGGTAAAGCACCTTGAGTTCACATATGATGTCTTTTTTTCTTGTGTTAACAAACACATGAAGGCCGCAGAGCGATAAACTGGAAAATAAAACAAAAATCTACTTTTATAAAAATATGACACCTGCTATCAATCAATAGTTAAACCATTTGATTAGAAGCACATGGTTGCTAATACTGAGCTTTTTAATTTTCTATGAAAGCATTAAACAGGCTTTTCTTTTTGCATCCTGCATCTGTATTTTATCTATCCATCCATCCATCCATCCATCCATCCTGCATCCATCCATCCACCCACTTTCATAATAAAAATTCAACAGGTATCAAATTAATTTATATATATTTTACTCTAGTTGTATGACATAATATTTATGCTATTAATTTAAAAATATGGTTTCATCAAACGTCACTTTTGTTGCTGTGCTCTGAACAGGAGACCATCGACACCATGACCCTTGAGCAAGAGCTTTCCCAGTATGCTTTCTTCAACCAGCAGCCATCGTCCCAGACACAACACAACCAGCAAGTGAGTTTGTGTTCAAAATAATTCATTCTCAACATCTCAACTGTTGACCGGCCCTTTTCTTACCTTTCAGATTTTATTTTAGTCAAACAAAATTTGTTTTTAAAACGCTGTTAAATTAGAAATTAGAGATTTACCGTTGGTAATATCAGAATATTTGCTTAGGCTATTAGTTCATCAATGCACTTCCAAAGCAGAATTTATCTTAAAACAATTTCAATCATAAATTGTTTTAGTACTTTATGTAAACATTAACATTCAAACTTTTTTATATCGATCACCATCACTTTCTTACTACATGGGTATTTTGACAAAAATATTATAAAGGTCATGCTGGAAAAAAAAAACATTTTGCACAAGAAATGCTACATTTTACTAGAGCCCAACTGATATATAAGTAGGGTCGATAAGTTGAGTCGCTATAGACGTTTGGGGACCTATTGTATTGGTGATGATTGTCCCATTATGCACAGATATAAACACTTCTAATTTCACACCTAAAACGCTGGAACCAGCTGTAATAGTACAATATATCCAGCAGAGGACATATGAAGACTACTTTCAAGTCCAAAAAAGTTCAATCTGGTCCTCTGGACATTCAAAAAAACAAAACAAAGCAAAAAAATATAGAAACGTTTCGTCTCTCATCCGAGAGACTTCCTCAGTCTGAGGTGCTGTATTCAGCTCAGTCTCTTAAATAGCACCTTCTCAGAGTGGATCAACCAGTTTTGCTGCTGACAACCAAAACCAGCTGATCACATGCTCAAGAAGGACCATCAGCCTAACAATGGATCATTAGCACACTGATGGCTGTTTACTATTCACAGAGGGCTGAGTGATACTAGCAATCACAGCATTGTAAGAGGGGGACAGTTGAACCCGGAGGCCTCCACCCCTGTTTAATGATGGACAATTTCTTTTCATAAAGATGGCCTCCTTTACTCCTCTCTCAAACCATCGTTCCTCTCTGTCCAGGATGTGAACATCTTCATCCCTGAAAGAGTGATCGCTGGCCTGGAGATGAGTGTAGACCGCAGAGTCCTGGCCTGATGATGTTGATCTTCTGTGCTGGGCCATCCTTTTGGCCAGTGGCTGTTTAGTTTCCCCGATGTAGGACTGATCACAGCCCTCCTGACACTGAACAGCATACACAGCATTACTCTGTTTGTGCCGGGGGACTGGATCTTTGGGATGAACCAGTCTTTGCCGTAATGTATTTTGGGGTTTAAAAGCCACTGGGACGTTATGTTTAGAAAATAAACGTCTCAGTTTCTCTGATACTCCCTCAACATATGGAATGACCACTGGTCTGGGTCTGGGTTCCTCCTTTTCACCTGATGGCTGACTGGAGTCCTGTTTGGGTTTCTTCTCTGCTTTCAGGAAGGCCCAGTTAGGATATCCACATTGCTCTAGAGCCTGTCTTGTGTGGGATTTCTCCTTCTGCCTGGCTCCTGAGCTAGTGGGGACGCTGTCTGCTCTGTGGTACAGAGTCCTGATGACTCCTAACTTGTGCTCCAAAGGGTGATGGGAGTCAAACTGCAAATACTGGTCTGTGTGGGTGGGTTTGCGGTACACCTCGGTTTGCAAATGTCCTCTATCAGAGACTGAGACCTCACAGTCCAAGAAAGCCAACTTGCCATTTTTTACATCTTCTCGTGTGAACTTGATGTATTTATCCACAGAGTTGATGTGGTCAGTAAAATGTTGGACTTCCTGAGATTTAATTTTAACCCAGGTGTCGTCAACATACCTGAATCAATGACTTGGTGGTGTCCCTGAAAAGGACGTCAAGGCTCTCTTTTCTACCTCCTCCATGTACAGGTTGGCAACAATAGGAGAAACTGGAGACCCCATAGCACACCCATGTTTCTGCCTATAATATTGCTCCCCATATGTGAAGTAGGTTGACTGCAGGCACAGTTTCAAGAGTTGACACAGTTGTTCTGTGGAAAGTGTGGTCCTGCTGCTCAGAGTGGTGTCTGATTTTAATCTTAAACTGACCACCTCCACTGCATCATCAACAGGAATGCACGTAAGAGTGATGTGACATCAAAAGAGACCATTGTTTCATCAGTCTCCATGATGACATCCCTCACCTTATCCACAAAGTCCATGGTGTTCTGTATGTGGTGTTCTGAGCTGCCAACTAAAGGGATGAGTACAGACGCCAGATATTTGGAAACATTGTAAGTGACAGAGTTAATCATGCTAACGATTGGTCTTAAAGGTACACCTTGTTTGTGGATTTTAGGTAAACCATACAGACTAGGTGTGGCCTCCCCTGGGTACAGTCTGTGGTACAGAATACGGTCAATAGCCTTGTCCTGCTCCAAATTTTTCAGGCAATCTATTAACTTCTTCTTGTAACCACTTCCTGGATCTCTTTTCAGAGGTTCATAAGTGTTTACGTCACTAAGGAGTGTCATAACTTTCTCATGATAGTCTTTCTGGTTCAAAATCACTGTGCACCTTCCTTTGTCTGCTGGGAGAATGATGATGTTTTTGTTCTTGCTAAGAGTGGTGAGTGCACCCCTCTCCTCTCTACTGATGTTGGAAGGTGGTGGTTTGGTATTGCTGAGGCAGGATGAAACTTTGATTCTGAGCAGTTCTGCTTCAGCCTCTTTCATTTTGTTGTTGCGGATGGCTGACTCAGTAGCTGTGATCATCTCCACCAGAGGAATTCTATTTGGTGCAACCGCAAAGTTCAGTCCCCTGGCAAGAATCTCCGTCTCCGGCTGGGTGAGCTGTCTGTCAGATAAATTCTTCACCCACTTTTCTGTCTCCCTGGCATGTAATTGACTACTGGAGTCCTACACTGAATGTGTTGTTATTGGAATAGTGATGGTGTTGATGAGTTATTATTAAGTTAAACTTGTTTTGTTGTCGAGTCTTGGACTTGACATGCTGTGCTAAGCGTGCCTGATCTGTACAGTCCCAACACTTGCTGAAGTGTGGTCTGATCTAGACACGTTGTTAGTTTCTGTTTAATGTGCTCTTCTTTGGCCTTCAAGGCCTCAATAGTAAAATTGGTCTGTCTCACCCGTTCATTCAGCAGCTGGGTCTGTGCCTTCTGAAGGATCTTGCTTGCCCGGTGCCCGCTGACCGAAGATTTTAGTTCCAGGCTCTTGGGAATGATGCCACTTTGTCGACATCTGAGAGAGGAGTAAAGGAGGCCATCTTTGTGAAAAGAAATTGTTCATCATTAAACAGGGGTGGAGGCCTCCGGGTTCAACTGTCCCCCTCTTACAATGCTGTTATTGCTAGTATCACTCAACCCCCTGTGAACAGTAAACAGCCATCAGTGTGCTAATGATCCATTGTTAGGCTGATGGTCCTTCTTGACCATGTGAGCAGCTGGTTTGGGTTGTCAGCAGCAAAACTGGTTGATCCACTCTGAGAAGGTGCTATTTAAGAGACTGAGCTGAATACAGCACCTCAGACTGAGGAAGTCTCTCGGATGAGAGATGAAACGTTTCTATATTTTTTTGCTTTGTTTTGTTTTTTGTTTTTTTGAATGTCCAGAGGACCAGATTGAACTTTTTTGGATTTTTCTACCTGGATTATTGAGCATGCATCAGGATACTTTCAAGTCATTGCCATTTAAGTTTCTCTTTCACATTCAGTACAGGCGAAGCAGGGAGCAATACTGTGTGTAGCGTATTTTGCTGAACAGAGTAGGTAAAATTTATTTTAACTGATCCGTAAACCAAATCAGCAATAACAAATTCTCTTCAATTCTCCAACCTGCTTGTCATTAGCTATGTACTTCTCAAGATAGCAAGCTAACATTTAGATAACCTAACATAGGCTACTGCCTTGCAAAACTTTGTCCAGAATAATAATTCTAACGTAGAGGTAAAATATATCAGAGTTAGTAATGTTATCTTTGTCATCCTCAATGAAATGCATTGTTTGTCTGAAATCTTTACTTCTCAAGTTCAAGTCAAGTTTATTGTCATTCGCATCACATGTGAGACATGAGGTGGAAGGAAATTGTGTACTCAAGGTCCCAATTACACCCAAAAATGGCAAAAATATAAAGTATAAACAGAAAGAGTATACAAGGATCTAAGATATACGCTAAACGAATGCCAAATGGTACGCTAAAAGATCTAAGATATACGCTAAACGAATGCCAAATGGTATGCTAAAAGATCCAAGATATACGCTAAACACTAATGTAAAATAAGATGGTGTATCAATAGCAACCTGAACATGAGCCTGAGGTGAGCCGATGGATATGAATGAATGAATACATCAGAATAAGATCAGCAGCGGTATGAGATCAGTAGTATAGATAACCAGCAGCACAGACAAGTCACATATCACCAATTAAAGTGGCATTACAGTGATTTTTTTTTTCTTAGTGATTAACCTGGTTAGGGAGTCTAACAGCTTCAGGGTAGAAGCTGTTCCTCAGTCTAGTGGTTCTGCCGTTAATGCTCATCAACCTTCTGCCTGAGGGGAGTGGGGCAAAAAAATGAGTTTGCTGGGTGAGTGGGGTCCTTCATGATGCAGGTGGCCCTTGTCCTGCATCTGGAGGTGTAGATGTCTGTGATGGTGGTGTAGTGAACTTGACCTAAGGTCAAAACCCTTGACCTTAAGAACCTT